CTATAAGAACTTCTTTTAACATTACTTGTAGTCTGCTTCTTCTGGTCATGAATTATTTCACCTTTTATTCTGAAAAAGTCTGTTTTACCTTAATTCTTGAAAAATATCTTTGTTCTTTATAGACTTCTGGGTTAAGAAGGGTTGTTTTTTTATTTATTTCAATAGTTAAATAAGTTGCTCCACACTTCTGTTATTTTTCTAATAAATCTACTGTCATCTTTGTTCTACTGTAGGCAACATATCTCTTTTTTTCTTAGATTGCTTAGTAGCTTTTCTTTATCACTGGATTTGAGAAATCTGTTTGCAGTATGCCTTGTTTTAGTTTTCCTCATATTTCTTGTGCTTGTGTTGTTTAGACTCTTGAATCTTCGGGTTTAGAATTTTCGCTAAAATTAAAATATTTTCCCTCCCTTATTTCTCTGTGTTCTTCAGTTGCTCTGATTATAGTTACATTGTGACAAAGTTCACTGATGCTCTATTCATTGTTTTCTTTTGTCTTTGTGCTTCATTTTGAATGGTTGTTTATCGTTATCAAAGGTCACTGATTTTTCCTTCTGCAACATCTACTTTATCATGAATCCTATCAATGTATATCTTATCTCAAACACTGAAGTTTTCATATCCAGAAGTTTGATTTCATTGATTTTTTTATATCTTCCATGTGTTTCCTTAAATTTTTGAACATATGAAACACAATCATAATAGCTATTATAATCTCCTTGTCTGCTCACTCTAACATCTGTTTGTTCTAGATCCATTTTGATTGAATGACCTGCCTTCTAATTATGGGGATATTATTGTTTCCTTGTTTGCCAGGTTTTTTTATTGAATTCCATACACTGTGAATTTTATCTTTTTTGATGCTGCATACTTTTTATTTTTAAAATAACCTGTGAGTTTTTTTCTAGGATACTTATCTATGTCTTTAGCAAGTAACTTTACTTATATGTTTAGGTCTTGCTTTTAAGTATTATTAGTCAAGGCATTCTGCCTAGAGTTAATTATTCCCCAATACTGAGTCAATCTGTATAAACCAGGTAATTTACCCAACTTCTTTTGAAATACAAGGTTTTACAATATGGCTGGTAGAAACATGCATGGTTCTTGACCTTATGTAAGCACTAGGTACTGTTTCCTCTTAACTGTTTTACACAGTTCTTTCTCCATCCTTGGGTAGTTTTTTTTACACACATGCATTAGTCAGTTCTCTGCTAAATACTCAAGGGGCACTTTCTGCATGTCTTTGGACTTCTTTATTTGTTCAACTCTGTCATCTCAATTTCTGTGACCTGTGAACGCTAGCTGTCCTGGTCTTTCTGGACTCCCAGGTATCCCACGTATAATGTTTTTGTCACCTAATCTTTAAACCACTTGATTGTGGTTAAACTCTGCACACCAGAACTAAAGGAAATGACAAAATCTTAGCATTCATTGAGCTTATGAATATAGCTTTAATCCTTCAGGTGAAAGCTAGAGTAGTTCTCAAGACAGGTCATTTCTATCATTTGAAAGATCTGCCTATCATTGCACTGTTCAATAATTTCTCCATTCGGGCATAAAATCAGGAATAAAACCTAAGTTTTTGGTCACTATGGCTTTTCCTTTCCTTCAATCTCCTATCACAAATGTTGCAGAAGTTCTCTTAGCT